GTTACCACCAAAAACACCGATGAATATAATCTATGGAGGTTATAAAAGTGGACCTGATGGTTCAGGAAAAGGCCACGATGCTCCGTTACCACCAAAAACACTGATGAATATAATCTATGGAGGTTATAAAAGTGGACCTGATGGTTCAGGAAAAGCCCACGATGCACCGTTACCACCAAAAACACCGATGAATATAATCTATGGAGGTTATAAAAGTGGACCTGATGTTTCAGGAAAAGGCCACGATGCACCGTTACCACCAAAAACACCGATAAATATAATCTATGGAAGTTATAAAAGTGGACCTGATGGTTCAGGAAAAGGCCACGATGCACCGTTACCACCGAAAACACCGATGAATATAATTTATGTACCTGATGATCAAGGCAATGGTCACGGTTCACCGTCACCTCGTGTTTAAATAAGAGATGGTATAGTGTTGGGTTCATTTTCCTTATATGGCATATGTAATTTGTGTGAGAGATATATAAACAATAATAAATACAATTAATAAAAAAAGTTTGTGATGATGAAGTTGCACTGCACTCTAATTTGATGAGGTAAGATGGGATACATGTTAAAAGCAAAAATGTTAATCGAAGCTTATAGTTTCCAGATAAAATAACATCAACAACAAAAAAAAAAAGATTATTTAATTATCTCGAAACTGAAGATACAAGTGATCAGATAATATCATAATAGAAACGGAACCAGACAATTACTATTATATTCAATATTTTCCTTAACTTAACTCGTACACAATAATAAAACTGATTTCAACTTGAAAAGAAAAATGTCATAGTTCAAAATCCTTAAATCGAAACAGATAGTCATATAAGTATATAACACTACAAATGTATTATTTTAGAACGTTTAGAACATACGTCGATCATCGTTACAACTTACAAAATATCCCTTACAATTTTTTTTTTTAATTAATGCTTATATATATATATATATATATATATATATATGTGAGGAGAAGTGCTTATATGTGAGGAGAAGTGCTTAGTGAATCACTGAAATATATTGAGATAAAGGTCGAAGAAGAGATCCGTGCGGGAGAGTGCCTAACTACGTCAAGATGGGTCGACGATTGACTTCTCAACCGAAGAATGTCACATTCCCCTCTGTTTATTTATCAATAATAGTAATAGTGACTCATTAGTCAGCACTCAGCGCAGTTGTATTTAAGTGGTTTATATCTTTTGGATACGATCATGCTTTTGTTTATTAATTACATAATCGAAATTTCCTCTAAATTCAACGTTAGATGTGTTGCGAGGAGCTTAATTTCAACCTAAATCTACCTAAATATCGACTTTGCTCAGAAGTTGATTGCTCGACGCATGCAGCATACTTATTTACTATTTGACTATTTGAAATCAAGTCAAGAAAAAAAACCCCATCTAAATAGCAGTATGCAAATCATAAAATAAAGATAGGATAGGTTTTTAACAAAAAAAAAATAAAGATAGGTGTATATTTTTACCATAAAACTGATTCTAATCAGGTGTAGAAGTTATTTCTAATTTATCACATGTTTTAGCCAAATATATTATATTTGTAGTCATAATTAAAATGTGTCCGTGTGATCAGAGCCGTCCCTGAAGTTTTGGTGGCTACAAGCAAAAAAACAAAAATTGGGCTGATTTTCCCTTTGAAAAAAAAAAAAAAAATTCTCATCTGCTAGAAATCGAACTAGAGATCAGACTGTAGAGTTGCTAATATGTTTCCAGCTGAACCAAGGGACATTCACGTGAAAATAGGGCCGATTTAGTATATAAATATAAGACGGCCGCAAGCACCAGCTTTGCTGGCTTGTACTCCTGGCCGGCTCTGCGTGTGATCGAATAGTTCTTCATCATTTACTTTATTTTCGTTGTCTTGCCATTGCAACTCAGGTTTCATGTGAGGCGTAGATTGTTGAATTAATTGGATGAATTCCTTCATCCACGCGCCTAGTTTTCACGTGAGAATTTTGAATGGGGTCTTTTTGTGAGTAAGCAATATCAAAGTATCATACGTCGATTTTGGCTTTGGTATGTTTGGACAACGTAACGAAGAGAGAGAGCCCTTAAATTTGAAGCTACTATACTACCAGTATTAATCAAATCAACTATCTTAAACATATATCTTTGAATATTTTTTATTATTTTATATATATATATATATATTTTCCTCTATATAGTAACTATCACACTATATGCAGCACCTTGAGTAACAAGAAAATGAGCTGTTTATTAACAGAGTTCAATAACACTGTTAGTTGTTAAAACAGAGCTAATAACAGAGACGTTAAGATATTTTGTATAGGATCTTTAGCTGTAGTATATAAGCAATTGTATAGCCTAACATTCAGATCAATGAGAAAGTTATTCTTTGAGTAAATTCTAATATGGTATTAGAGCATTAAATTTCTCTCTCATTCAAAAGTTTGTTACAAACACAAATTTTCTGGGAAAACGAAATTTTCCGGGAAAAATTTTCTGGATTCTCTTGAAGATTTCACTTCGGCTTGTCGTGTTCATCTTTCTCATCGTCGATCATCGTATCAATGGCGAAGAAAGGGACCAAGCAGCTCAGGAATCGTTCAGTTAGTCAGGATTCAGATGTTGATACTCCGATCGTTCAACGATCAGCTCCAGCTCGCACCTCCGTGACTCGTTTTCCATCAGATTCTGATTCGATCGATAGCCATCACAATCCGTTCTACTTACACTCAAGTGATCATCCTGGTATGTCGATTGTAACCGAGAAACTTACTGGTGAGAATTACAACTCTTGGATCATTACTATGAAAACTAGTCTAGAAGCTAAGAACAAGATCAGTTTCGTCGATGGATCTCTTCCACGACCTCTTGAATCTGATCAGATTTACAAGATCTGGATTCGTTGCAATAGTATGGTGAAGGCTTGGATTTTAAATGTTGTTTCAAAACAGATCTATGATAGCATTCTTTATTTTCATGATGCTGCTGGAATTTGGGATGATTTACACAGGCGATTTCATAAAAGTAATCTTCCTCAGATCTATAATCTAGAACAAGAGATCAATTCATTGCGTCAAGGCGATTTAATTCTCTCTGAATACTATACTAAGAAGATTACTCTCTGGGAACGTCTAGCATGTACTAAGAATCTTATGGAAAATGGTGGATGTCGTTGCTCTCAGGTCTTAAAACTCTTGGATGATCATGAGACTACACGGATTACTCAGTTTCTCATGGGATTGAATGATGATTTTGCTAATATCAGAGGACAGATTCTCAACATCAAACCTCGACCTAGTCTTTCTGATATGTATAACATGCTGGAATCTGATGAATCTCAGAGAAAAAGAAATGTCAGTGGTTCTAATCCTTCTGCGTTCCAGGTGAAAGCTCAGGTGAATGTTTTTCAGCCTAAAGGATCTTTGAAATCTGGAGTTCGTTGCTCACATTGTGGTTTGAATGGTCACTCTGTGGATGTTTGCTATAAGATTCATGGTTATCCTCTTGGATGGAAACCTAAGAATCAACGTCAAAACCCCACTCAGAAGTTCTATACTCCTAATGCTTCAGCAAATCTTGCTCTCACTGAATCAGTGTCAGAAATTGAACAAACTCTCAGTCCAGGACAGCTTCAGCACTTGGTATCTTATCTCAATTCTAAGCTGCAGCCTCAGAACACCAGTAACATGGCTAGTAGTTCTACTGCAACACTTACTGAGATACCTTCTACTTCAACTGTCTCAGGAATCAACCCTATGGCATGTCAAATCACTGGTACTATTTTCCCTTCCATTTATTATTCTTTGTCACCAGAGAATCAATCATACTTTTACTCTGTGTCTGACAAGATAGTGAATATGAATACTTGGGTTATAGATACTGGTGCGACACACCATGTGACTTATGATAAAAATTTATTTGATTCTATGACTCCTATTCAAGAAACTACAGTGAAGCTTGCTAATGGTGTTGGTGTAAGAATTCAGGGATTGGGGACTATTAAACTTAATGACAAGCTCATCTTGAATGATGTCTTGTTTATTCCTCAGTTTAAATTTCATTTGTTAAGTGTGAGTTCTCTGACTGCTGTGATCAAATGTGGTTTGTGGTTTGATTCTGCTGGTTGTGAAATTCAGGATCTTACAAAGGGATTGATGATTGGAAGAGGTAATCTCCATAACAAGCTCTACTTCTTGGATTTACAGTTTCAGCCTACAGAACAACCTACTCCAACAGTTTGTGTTACAGTCAAGAATGAAGCTCATATCTGGCATCAAAGATTGGGTCATCCTTCTTCTCAGAAACTTAAATCTCTCTCAAGTTCATTATCTGTTGTGTTTCCTAAAGATATTTCAGACCAGAATCATTGCAAAGTTTGTCATTTATCTAAGCAGAAGCACTTACCGTTTGTAGCTCGGAACAATAAGACGAATAAAGCTTTTGATTTGGTTCATCTTGACACATGGGGTCCTTTTGCAGTCACTTCACATGATGGTTTTAAGTATTTTTTGACTATTGTGGATGATCATTCTAGGGCTACATGGGTTTATTTGCTCAGAAATAAGTCAGAGGCAATCTCAGTGTTCCCTGTTTTTGTTACAATGATTGAAACTCAGTTTGATACAAAGATCAAGGCAGTGCGTTCAGATAATGCTCCTGAATTCAATTTCACAAAGTTTTTTAAAGAGAAGGGAATCATGTCATATCATTCTTGTCCAGAAACTCCTCAGCAAAACTCTGTTGTGGAGAGAAAGCACCAGCATCTCCTTAATGTTGCCAGAGCTCTTATGTTTCAGTCTCATATTCCCATTGAGTACTGGAGTGAATGCATCATGACTGCAGTGTTTCTGATAAATAGGCTACCTACAGAAATTCTGGCAAATAAGTCTCCTTTTGAAATCCTAATGCAGAAACCACCAGAATATGATGGATTGAAGACTTTTGGATGCTTGGCTTATGCTTCTACTTCAACACAACAGAGAAATAAGTTTGCTCCCAGAGCAAGAGCCTGCATCTTTTTGGGATATCCCACAGGTGTTAAAGGATATAAATTGCTAGATATTGAGACACATTAATGAGACCCAACCTACCGGACAGCATACGGACAACGATCCGGACGAGGGCCGGGACGAGGGACGGAACATGGACCAACCCGGAACGACCCAAGGGACACTACCGGCGACCAAGGTACCTCAAATCCTTTCGGGAGCTGTCACAAGGTCAAGGGGAGCTGCACGCAATCTCAGGATCAAGTGCAATGCCTTCGCGGAAGAGTTCATCCAAGTACACGACCCACGGCCATACGGCCCCATTGGACTCGACCATCCGGACGATCATGAGCTTGTCCGGACCGTCTTCACCATCACTAGGTGAAGGCATCAAAGTCACTAGTTGGACGTGGTACTCTTTTTCCCTACTTGGGTTTATCCCACGTGGTTTACCAAGAGGGTTTTAACGAGGCCAACGTACGCTAGCGCATGACCACGCATCTCCGCATGACGTGGCCATCTCTCCTTCCTTTCGTAATAAAGCCGTTAGGCTCTTCTTGTCTTATGGTTTGTATTTTGACACGTCTAT